CAGATTATGCAAAGGACTGTAATTCAAAAGAATCTGAAAACTCATATCTCACAGATAGGGCGACAGGGACAAGACAGCTAAAATCAGTTGTCAGTATAGCTATTATGGTAACAATTCCCAACATAATATTCAATTAAAAAGCACCATGAGATTAAGATCCTGCTAAAACATAGCCCTCTGATTTAAATACTAATACTGTAGCATAAGCTGTGAAATTGAGTTTGAAAGTTCTGAACAATTCTATTTATCTAGAAATGTTGGAAATTGAAATGTATTTGATATCCATACATTTTAGGTAACTTATAATTGTGCTACACAATTTTAGATTATTTACAGAACAAAATTGAATACTTGTCAGGTATAATGACTGGTTCTACTGTTTGATTGTTGCACAGAAACATCCTTTCACTCTACTTCTATCGGCATAACAATTGGATGCTTGGTCCAGTTTGGGGAAGTGGGGGAGGTAAATTAAGTAATATGACTTCCAATTTGGGATCCAAATGACCTAATGTATATATCACAATGCTTTTACTGGACTCTGGGATAATGTTTGTTTGTTTGTTTATTAAATGTATATGCCGCCCATCTCCCCCAGAGAGTGAATCTGGGCACTTCTCAATTAAAATCCAAAACAGTGAAAACAATAAAAATATAAATATCCATGTTAAAATAACTAATAACAATCTTATATAAAAAGCCTATATACAATTCAAGATGATGGGGGGAGCAGTATCGATCATCCCACCAGCCAATTCCAACAATGCGAGCCCCCATCAGTCCCCCAGGCCATCTGGCATAGCTAGGTTTTCACACTTTTTCCAAAGACCAGGAGAGTGGGGGCGGCCAGGTGGTAAGCTGTTCCACAGGGTGGGGGCCACGGCAGAAAAGGCCCTCTTCCTAGACCCCACCAGCCGAAATTCCTTGACTGGTGGAGTCTGCAACATGCCCCTTCTGCCAGACCAAATGGGGCAGGTGGATATAACGGGAGCGAGACGGCTCCTCAGATAACCTGGTCCTGTGCCATGAAGGGCTTTCAAGGTAATTCAACACCTTGAATTGGACACGGAAGCAAATCGGCAAACATGTAAACAATGTAAAGTGTTATTACAATCTATGGCATTTATGAGATTCAGATTATGTCTCTTTCATGAAAATATGCTTTCATAATTTCATTATTACAGGTGTCAAAGAGAAAATAAAACCCACTTTTGTAGTGTGCAAACTATTCAGTAACCACTAGAGGGCATGCATCATGATAGTAACAATACATCTCACAAGACAAAATTTCCCTTTAATAACTTTATGACCGCAAGGAGCAAGCCATTATGTTTGATACTAGACATTTGAATCTTGTTTACAAAAATAATTAGTCTGGAAAAAAGTGATCTATAATTGCTCAGTGGATTTTTTAATGATCTTTTGGAATATCACTTATAATAATCAGTTATTATAGGGTATATGCATTATCCACTTTAAAAGGATTATCAAACCAAAAAGTCTGTACCTTGCAATCAGAAGGCCTGAATGTATGTATGTATGTATGTATGTATGTATGTATGTATATTCTTATGGCCGATTCTATTTATTTTTAATGTTGCCTCTTATCATGAATGTTTCATGGATTTTTAAAATTGATTTCTACCATTAATATTATATCTGTTAACTGCTGGAAGTCCTTTAGGATTTGGTGGTATAAAAGTTAAAATAAATAAGTTAAGTTCATGCATATGAGCATGTATCTATCCCCAGAAAAGACCTTCATTGTCTATCAAGTCATCTTGAGTTTAGATTTGAAGCTTTGCACTGACCAAGCTGTGCCCAAAGTGGATTGTAGGGATGTGATTTTGCCAGCATGTTCACAGATGAGGAGGCATGCTTCTCAGAGAAAGCCCTGATGGGGAGATGATCAACTGGCATCACAGTAGGGACCCAGGCCAAGTGATAGGTTAACACTGCTGTTAACAGAGCAGCAAGAAACCTATGAAAACAAGAGGCAGAAACAAAATTAGATTTCTGCAGTAAACTTCCCTAACTAGAGGAGCAACAAGAAGCAAGGTTACTTACTGGTTTTTGCTGCTCTGTTCTATCAAAGCAGCAAATTCCTTGAGAAAGTGCTGGCATAACAGATTCTTTTCTGAAGCACAGGACATCATAGTAAGCCATACAGGTTCTGCAATCCTTGGAACTGTGTATAAATTCCATATTGCAGTTCTACCAAAAGAAAAGGATCCTGTTAGCTTAAACGAGTGCAAATGGTTCAAAATTAAAAACGTTTTGCCCGTAATGGGGGAGACAACCAGTGCTGCTGCTGTTTCGTCTTGATCCATTCACTTTTCCTTTGTATATTTGTTTTTCTATTTATCCTCACTCATTCTCTCTATATACCCAAAACACCTCAATGTACTTCTCTCATATTGGTCATTCATTTTTCAAGTTTTGTATTTGCATGTTAATTTAAGTTGACTGAAGCTTTATATTCTTGCCAAGGTACTAATTCTCTTTCAACTCTAGTAGTTTCCCTCCTTGCACCAGAGGTACATTTTGTGTTCATCAGGGTAGAAAGCCAGTCTGATCTGGTGGTTTTGGAGATGCAGCAATGCAAATTCAGTAGATGTCTTTGAGCCAGTTGCTATGTCTCAGCCCAATCTACCTCAAAAAGCAGTTGCTGAACAGAAAATTATAGGAAGTACTATGGATGTTGCCTGGAGCTCCTGAAGGAAAGGTGGGATATAAACCGTTTTTTAACAGTACAGTGGTACCTCGGGATACGAACTTAATCCGTTCCGTGACTCTGGGCGTATCCCG